GAACCTCAGCCATGCAAGGGAAAAAATATTGCTCATTTTTACTGTGATACTGTGTCAAAAATAATTATATTTTTAATATGCATTCGTCTCTCAGTGTCTGTGATGGATTGGCTCCATGCTACCAAAATCCACAGCTGGTGAAGGCTCTTGCATAAAATGCTATAATATTTGCATAGAACTTACATACATTCTCCTGTGTACTTTAAGTCACCTCTAGATTATTTATACCTGGTACAGTGTGGGTGCTCTCTAACTACTCTGTGTTGTTTAGAGAATAATGACTCCCAAATGGCTGCACATATCCAATAAGGATGAATATATCAAATCCACCATTTCTGAAATCTAGGGGTGCAGAACAGATGTGGAGCCCCACTTGTAGATACAGAGCTGCTCCATGTTGTTAATCTTCCCTGATACCCAGTATTTGTACCCACTTGCTCCCCACTAGCCACACCTGAATAAACCCCATTCATGAATATACATGTTTTCCTAAGACCCACCCAGCAGAATATAAACCCAAACTCAGCCTTTGGCCAAGCCAATGGACCAAATGCCAGTATCCTGAAGGAAACTTGATTTTCATTTGTAAGAATGAAATTTATAGATGGGAAGGAACACTAAATCACAGCTCCCAGCTGCTGTGGTCCCCATACCAGCCTGGATGGCACCTCTGAATTAGTCAAAGGTGTTTCTCCCAGGACACTAGCCTTCTGCTGGAAAGCTGCCGTTGTTAAGTGGTCAGATTGCCATCTCCGAGGCAGAGCACCCAGAAATGGTGCCAAGCACAGCTTGCCCCAGCACCAGCCACTGTGGGGCACTGGCTTCTTGGAGAGTCTGGAGATCTCCAGTAGCAGCAGATGGCCTCGAATTAATACAGCACAAAGGCAGATACGGGGTAGGAATTTAAGATGTTTGACGGTAGAGCAGGAGGGCATTCGCTTGAGGGACAGCCAGAATAAATGGAAACCTCATTATCCGTGGATCACACACTTGGAACGAAGGTCCCAGGCATCTCTGATGTTAGTAATTTGGCCAGCAGGCTCATTAAGCTCTTAAGAAAAGTGGGCCTAGTTAATGAATTAATGCAAGATGACATTTTACACCAGAGCAAAAAAACGAGCCCAGGCAGCTCTGAGTTATGTGGTATCATAACTCCTTGAGTGGATGTGATCGCTGCTTCTCGACTGCCAAAGTGGCAGTCTGGAGGGAGGTGGCTTTCTGAAACAACAGTGAGATCCTGAGGATACAAAAGCCCTCACTGTCTGCTCATTAAAGAGCTCCCTCTTGTATTGGTAACAGCCAGTAGTCACACAGATGTCAGCGTTTCGGAATCTCTGGACACATTTACTTTCCATGTGAAAACCTAACCAGCTCCACACCCCTCCCCCAAGGTTCTCCACCACTTGTGCAGAGATGGCTGGTGAGGATAGCAAGAATGCACATACTAACAAGTGGCATTAACGAGTCAGAGCTGATGGGTCCTGCAGATGGACAGCCGTCCTGGTTGCACAACAACCAGGATTCACTTAATGCTGCTGAACTGTACCCTTAAAATGCTGTTTGTGGTATGCACATTTCATTGTGGCCATTGTGAAGTAATATTTGTTTTTAAAAGAACTAGCATTGCTGATTGCAAACCCTTGGCAGGCGCTGTGCTCAGCATTCCAGTATACATTGCATCTTCTGATGATGTGTGTGTGTGGGGGGGGGGTGCATGCTGTTAACTTTCTCAGTCGTGCTATTAATTTTTTTCTGCAGATTTTTTTTATTTGAATTAGAAACAAGATTGTTTTACATGTCAATCCCAGTTCCCTCTCCCTCCCCTCCTTCCCTACCACCCCCCCCAAATAAAACCCTACCTATCACATATCCTTTCTGCTCCCCCTGGATGCTGAGGCCTTCCATAGGGTGTCATCAGAGTCTATCGTATCCTTTGGGGTAGGGCCTAGGCCCACCCCATGTGTCTTGGCTCAGAGAGTATTCCTCTATGTGGAATGGGCTCCCAAAGTCCACACCTATGCTAGGGATAAGTACTGAACTACTACAGGAGAGCCCATAGATTTCCGAGGTTTCCTCACAGAAACCCATGTTCCTGGGGTCTGGATTAGTCCCATGCTGATTTCCCAGCTATCAGTCTGGGAACTAAGAATTCCCCGATGTTCAGGTCAGCTGTTTCTGTGGGTTTCACCAGCCTGGTCTGGACCCCTTTGCTCTTCACTCATC